TGAGCCCTCCACCGCCCTCCCCGTCCGTCAGCAGTGGCCTCTCGGGCGCTGGGTAAGGAGGCCCCTCTCCGCCTGAGGCAGCGGGTGCCGGGGGCAGGGGGGAGTTCGAGGCGTTCGCTGGGGAGGCTGCCACATCCCGGGGTTACCAGGCCGGGCCGCGGGGAGGGAGAGGAGCAATGCCAGCAGCCGTGTGCTCCATGGTGCTGCCCATCGCGTCCAGGTCGCTGAGCCCCGGGGTGGAGGTGATGGGCCTGCAGGTGGACTACTGGACAACGCAAGGGCCGGACAGGAAGAAGGAGGGGGAGAAGCGGGAGATGGGTATCAAGAACACACTCAAGAGCAACTTCCGCTCGCTCCAGGTCAGCCGCATCCCCGGCACAGGGGAGCTGGTGCCCCCCAGCACCATGGCCATGACCGTGGTCACCAAGGAGAAAAACAAGAAAGGTAACTGAGCCCACCCCAGGGTGCTCTCCAGCTGGGGGGGCCGCAGTCCCTTGCCACAAGGAGGGGGGAGCCCACAGGAGGGGCAGGGCTGAGACCCTGGCAGTGCAGCCAGCCCTGGGGTGAGGGCTCCCACCCAGGGCCAGCTGGGGACATCCTCACATTGGTCCTGTCTGTCTGTCCTCCGCCCCCAGTGATGTTTCTGAGCAAGAAACCCAAAGAGAAGGACCTGGAGCCCAAAAGCCAAGTCATCGAAGGAGGGGCAGGGCTGAGACCCTGGCAGTGCAGCCAGCCCTGGGGTGAGGGCTCCCACCCAGGGCCAGCTGGGGACATCCTCACATTGGTCCTGTCTGTCTGTCCTCCGCCCCCAGTGATGTTTCTGAGCAAGAAACCCAAAGAGAAGGACCTGGAGCCCAAAAGCCAAGTCATCGAAGGGATCACACGCCTCATCTGCACAGCCAAGCACCAGAACACCATGCTGCGAGGTGAGGGGGGGCACAAGCCCCCGATGTGAAGTTTTTCCAGCTGGCAGCACAGTGGCCAACGCACGTCAAGTACCTCCCCGTGGGCATCTTTGGCTACTCGAAGAGTGTGTGAGATGCTGGGGCAGCCCGGGGACGGAGCTGCGGGGGGGGGCAGGAGGGGACGGGGA